AAGTTCTTTCCTTTAAGAATGGCAAAGACTGTTTTATACTTTAGGAATGCAAATGAAAAGTAAAATAAAAGCCAATATACATAATAATTAGTCAAAAACTCCAAGAGAGATTCGATCAATTAAGAAACGGGTTCAATACAGTTTGTCCGAGTGGAGTTGCCGTATGTTGAAGTCATAAGACGGGGCAGATTTGGTACCTACACCAGTTTTAGTCATGTCTGAGGTGGTGAATGCAGCATATTTGTTGTTTATGGTTCATTTTTGTGAAACTTTTTGTAATTTTTCTTTAGCACATCATTAAAATTATATATATTTTTTCCATTATTATCCTTGCTGAGTTTCCAACAGCTCTTTCATCTTGCTTTAAACCGTCCTACTAACAGCTCTGTTGAACCCAGTTTCCCTTTTACAGCTGTGCTCAAAGGAATTCATTAGCTAGTCCTTCTCAAAGCGAATACACAGACGAAAACTCCAGTCGTCATCGTGAAGAGGTTTTGTCTTTACGTTTCTGTCCACTTTTCTGCACAAACATTTCATACACAGAATAGCAGTTCGTTTCGCAAAACGGAGCACAAAGTGGTGCAAAGGTGGAAAAAGAAACTGTGTCTGCGTCCTTCCCTCTCCTCCAGTGTTCTTCGCTGCTTTATCTCGGAGCGCCAGCAGTCGCCCGCATCCTTTCAGATGCAGCCCTGCTTGGAATGGCTCCCAAGCCCCAGAAGCCTCAACAATGCAGGAAAAAAAGACCTTCCGCTCGCAATGTGATAAAAGCAGTCCTGCAGCGTTATTTGTCTACAGGCTTTTTGATTTTCAGCGTGTTAATAGAGTCGCAGACAGAAACTGTGTTGTCAGCCTCTCCCTTTTTGGACATGTCAGGCTCCCAGAGAAAGAACTCGTGGAGGAGGGTGTTGACGGTATCGGGGCACTCCATCATGACCATGTGACTTCCCTCCTCTATGACCTTCAGGAATGCAAAGAGGAGGATCTGTAAGCAGAGTCACAATAAATGCAAACCTGTTAACATCTGAGATAGATCAGACACACAGCGCCATCACTGGAAAAATCCAAATCTAGATAAGTCATTTTTTCTTAAAATAAGTGTATTTGTTGTTGAATAGAGAGGATAAAAGACATTTTGCCAATGCACTGCAAAAATGATCTAGAAATAAGTAAAAATTTCTTAAATCAAGTGTATTTACCCTTAATTTGAGTAGGTAAATACGATGATTTGCCAATGAAATTAGTATCTTTACACTTAAAATAAGATAANTGTCACAGGTACAGAGCAACATATTTAACTCATCCTCTTGTGGAGCAGTGGGCTGCCATTGTGCGGCGCCGGGCAGCAGTATGGGGTTAAGGGTCTTCCTCAGGGACCCAGAGTGGCAGTCTGTGGCAGTGGGGCTCCAACCCAGAACCTCAGGATTCCAAGCTCTACGCCCTAACCACTAGGCTGCCACTCACCCAAATTTAATATATGGTCTTCAGACAGGTGACAAATCAGATATTAAACTGATAAGAACAGATTATACGCTTGATCTTAGCCAAAAGGCAGAGAAACGATACGTCAAAAATTTTGTTCAAATTATACAAATTTTTATCTGTTCACAATGTGTTTATGATTGAAAAATTCAGGTTTCACTAGAGCAAAAATATCACACTGACGATGTAGAGGTCTCAATGTCTCATATATCAATTATGATACACTTGGTGTTAAATTAAAGGTTTATCACCAAGTTAAACGCTTAACTCCTCCGGACCAGTAAGTGGCGCACTCGCGTTCGCCTTCTCTCCTTCTGTGCTGTTTGCCAGCTAGCTGCAACATATAATTTCTATTTGTGCAGAACATACATTATATTATAAATATCTCAACCAGTTTGAGTTCAGTTTAAATAGTTTTTGATTTGAATAAATATTTGTAATCCAACTAAAGGGTAATTAAAAAAATTGTTTTGCTCCTTTAAGGGGTTGAAACATGTAAGAGATTATTATAATCGTCTGTTATGTGATTAAAATGAGATCTAAGGCGCCTCCTATTCTTTCTGACTGTGGTCCGATCCAAGATGGCCGCCCTCTAGGCTAGTCAGCCAGCGTCCAATGAGACGTCTACGTCTAAAATATCTATGGTGTGTCGATTCTGAGAATCATAATCAGTAGTAGATTATTTATTTACTGTTATTATTATAAGGTAAAATGAATAAGTTTATTTCCCACTACTCCAGTTTATGTGCCTGATTGTATACATCAGGGTGTTCAAGAAAATAAATATTTTCACTCTAGAATGATGATGTAGAGGTCTGTAAAACCCACGTATCACATGATACAGTGTGTATTACAGAGATAAACCAATCAACCAACCAGTGATCGACCAGAATCGGACCTTTTTGTATTTTTTTTATGTAAGCTGTACTGATGAAAAATCTGTTTCTGGTGAACAAAGTAACTGTTAGACCCTGATATAAAGAGGGAGAGCTGGATAGCACTGTGGCTAGCTATGCTAACAGGTTAGCCTCTTTTAGCTCGGTCAGTTAGCCATATTACGCTACCCTACTTGTAAATTTGTATCAACAACAACCGTTTGTTTTCTACAAGTAGAAAAACTGTTGTTTTCTTCGTCTAAAATCTCTACGAAAGTAATTTTTTAAGAAGTTTCATTTGTCTTCCTCTGCCCTCAGGTCTT